AGACTAAGCGCACCAAAGATCATGGCTGTGACCCGATCTTGTTCATGGCACACTCATATCTTAGAAATCATCCAAAAGCGCCACAAGCTGGTTTATTCGAGGTGACATATGCGGCCTATGTATCTTTTTCAAATGGGGGACTTCACTTATATTATCAAATTTATTGGTTTGACTTTTTTACCGTACTGGTCTGATAATGAAAACGTGAAGCCTATCGAGGGACCCAGTAGATTATGAGCGAGTAAAATATTGATTTCTTGAAATCACGTCGCGGGAAACTGCTTACAATTACCAGTTCAAGTACTAAGTTAGGGCCATCTTAAAAGTTATACTTTGACTCTAAATTATTATACTATCAGATACAATACGAATAGTAAGAAGCTTCTTGATTCACCGGGCACTCAGCCATGCTTGGTATGCCCCTGATAGGGAACCAGGCCGCCTTCACTTTTCTTGTTCCTGGCCATCCTACTCCCTGAAAAACTGTTGTTATAAAGGCTTGTATAATAAAAACAACGAAATTTTACAGTTTATCCTCCAACACAGTTATGGATCTTCAGTAGTAGATCTTAATTTTCACTGAACTCACCTCAGTCTCACTCTAATGGTCACAACAAAAAGACCGAGAGTGAAAATATCGGTTATGGATGGTAATCTCAAGACAGACTACAAAGTTTACTTCTGCTTAAGTCCCTAAAATTTTAGCTCATTTGTGTCAGGTCAGTTTATTAGGTAGCGGGAACGGAATGTCCGAGTTTCCCTCCATAACTTCTGTAGCTTACTGTAAGTCGAGGCCACTGTTGGCAAAAAAGTAGAAAATATTACTGCTTAGGAGGGTCAAATTCTTGTCCTTGGTTGCCAAATAGGAAAGCCTTGAAGCCTAAACTCTTTAGGGGTTGATAAATGCTGCCTGAGAATAAGCCCTGCATCCGATCGTAGTGGGGTGTTGAATACGCACGTGGCCTATACAATGAATTGCAGTGACCAGCCAATGTACAAATCATTGCCTTTGCCTCACAGACGAGACTGGTACCAATAAACCGACCCCGGAGGGAAAGAAGGCTCGATTGGTCTAGGAATTCAAATCCGGTGACCATGCGTGTGTAATAGTGCGCCACTTGCCACTACACCGCCTCCGACAAAATAAAGAAAAAAAGCGATAACTTCTGCTCTGACCCCATTTGGCATGCCAGTAAACCTTCATTCAGAATGGTAGTGGCGTTTGAAGGGGTCTGGCCTATTAACTAACAATCTTCAAAATGTAGGAAGTAGGTAGTCGTAAAGGGTATCGGAGCGGGGATTCGATCTCCGGACCACTCGGGACCTGGTAGATACGTTTGACACCGTCCATGCTGAACATACCTATGCCAATTACGAGCACCACGATTCATAGTGAATTTTTTATGTGATAAATACGGAATAGAAGATTGGAAGAGTAGAAACTGCATTCTTCCAAAAATTCCTCTTTTCCTTTGATCATTTCCTCAATGGCCAGAGAAGGATGTCTCAGTTCCATTTTTACCGAAAAATTTCTGGAATACACTTGAAAACTAATAGAATATATTGGTTACTTCAGGTACGAACATGCTAGTGATTCATTCTCTATTAAATGCTGCTCAAAATTGCCTTATTCAAATACATAATCAGTAGCTAGTATTTATATAACCCATTTTATAAATGAAAATCCCAGTCACCTCACAGATAGAGGGGATTCTCCCAAATAATGTCATCGATGAAATTAATGACAGGTGATTTGTGCTGTTAAGATTGAATGATAAGATGAATTAATTCGTGATAGAAGGAATCCTAGCATTACCAAATGCAACAAGTACCGGGTCGATTAAGTCCCTGCATTGAAACCGCGATTTTTCGCTATTTTCGCCCTAGCTTCGGCAACTCCTTTTTTTGCTGCCGAGCACTCAGATAGTTGGAATATCACACTCTCACTATGACCTGGGTAATTTTGATGATTTTCTTTCTTCACGGCCGATATTATTTATAATTTTAGGGTTTTACCACTGATGAAGATGATCTTCTAGGAAAGAGGAGGCTACGATTGTACGGACAGCATAAATTACCATTCCACTGATATTCACTAAGGTTCAAATTCTTGACTTTGGTTACCAAATGCGTAAAGTCTCAAAGGATAAAGTATTTGGGCGTTGATCAATCCTGCCTGAGGGATACGCCGCCACATCCGACTCAATAAAAAGTCGTGGAGGGGTGTTGAATGCGTATGCAGCCTGTACAATGAATTGAAGGGGCCAACCGATGTACAAACCACTGCTTTCATCCTCCCAGATGGGCCTGGAACCAACTTAACAACACCGGAAAGATGGAAAGCTCGGTTGGCCTAAGCGGATATCGAGCCGAGCTTCGAACCCGTAACCGTGCGTGTGTAATAGTCCGCCCCATGCTGCTACATCACCTCCGACCAAGTAAAAATAAAAAAAGTCATGAGGTTTTACTAGCTCTGACCCAATTCAGTATGTCAATCAACCTTCACCTCGAACGGTAGGGCGTTTGAATGAGTCTGGCACTTATCAATCATTCCCGAAGAGATGCAGAAATCAGTTCATCCTACAGGGAATCGGCCTGGGAATCCATCTGTGGACCACGCTAATCCTGGGGCTCTTCTTTGACGCACCCCATTTTCGTTTGCCTATGCCAAATTGTAGCACCGCGATTCATTGCGATTTCTTTAAATGATGAATACCGAATGAAATATTGAAAGCTTCAAAATGCATCCTCCCGAGGAATTATTTCCCATTGATCTTTCCCTAATAGCCAGAGAGGAATGTCCCAGTTTTGTTTTTACTGTGCAAATTTTCGAGGAACCTTTGAAAGTCATGATAAAGGGATGTACCGGTCACTTCAGTTACGAACATGTCCGGGTTCCTCCCCATTATTCACTGCTGCTGAAAATGCCCAATTCAAGTGCATAATCAGTAGTTGGTATTTTTAAAAAACACAACTGATCGATTAAAATCTCCGTCATATAGCAGGTTGAGCGGGGTTTTTTCGAAATAATTCTTATCGATGAAATCTATGTATGATATTTGTGATGATAGTATGAATTAGAAGGTGAAATAACTCTAAAAGAATAAAAGTGAATGAGACCAATTACAAGCAAGACCACCTCGATTATAGCCAGGCACTAAAACCGCAAATTCTCGCTATTTTTCGTCCTCCCTTCGGCAACTTTTTTCGTGTTGCCAAGCGTTTATATAGATGGTCTATCACAATTTCACTCTAACCTTGTTAATTTAAATGTATTTTTCTTGTCCGCAGCCATGAGAAACTTGTCAAATATACCATATTATACTGTTACCAGTAGGATCGCCCTGCTGTCATCGGGCCCTCCTCCTTTACGTTTTGTAATGGGCCCGCTGCCTCTTAGCAATGTTGAATTTGGTGTTGTTCTGTTGCTGCTGAGTTGCTTATTTTGTTATTTTTGTATAATTTGCAGTTCTTGCGCAGTGTTCATGGCTAGACTGCTCGAAAAGAACGTCTGATTTGTGCTGGGACCGCTTTTTAGCCCTTGTAGACAAAATTCTGGAAGGACTCTTCTCCCTTTAATCAACACTGTACTATTCAGAGTGCAATTAAATCATTCGATATTTGTTAAGTTCATTTTATTTAAAGCCTCAGTCGGCTGAACTAAAGAGATGGTTTTCGTGGTAATAAAAAGGATTTCTTGTAGACCATGAACAACCTTCTCTTTGGCGAGAGCTTTGATTACAAAACATTTCTGAACTGAGGTTTCCGCCTCTTTGCCTTCTTCAGAGCTTTCATGACGAAACACCACTTAAGATCGATTCTCACATAAGACCACATAATACTCAGGATAGTTCTATAAGCCAGAAATTCCCCATTTCATCTCTCCTGACTTTGACACAATTTAAAAATTGCAGAATCCGAGGAAGGAGCAAAGTTACTGGTCATGTCATGGAGATTGTACGTTCATATATGGGAGGTCGATCAAGTTATCGCCCTACTAAGGTTAAGGTAGGCACATAGCATGCTTGACATACTTCAGGGGGATCTTCTGATTCGGAGGACTGCTTTGAGCACTGTCTGCCACTATATGAGGAGTCATACCAATTGGTTTTGACTTTCAGACTCTGAAGAAGACAAAGAGGCCGAAACGTCAACTCAGAAATGTTTTTTAATCTTGGAAAGGCTGAAGCCAGTTTACTCACACGTTATCGCTTTGGCATTGAGCTGAACAGTTGCATAGCGGGTGAATAGCCTTTTCAGGCTTGGTATCAACGGCATTCTGCGATTTCATGTTACCCCTTGTTCTTGTATTCATGTTTGTTTACTTTATAGTTGTTAGTTGATTTACCACAGTTTCAGACATTTTCGTTTCTGTCCAGGACTTAAACATGGCCTGATCCTAAAGAGGAGCCAACCGTCTCCAACAAAGGTCTCCTATTTCAAGACAAATCTGGCGACACAACCTTGAATGTGGGAAATACCTGGAATATTCCGAAAGAGCTCATCTAAGTAACACCAGTGAAGGGTGTCGTTGCCGTAGACAGACTTAACCAGACAGTTACGAGCTAGTGATTATCACGGTGCTAGTGAATGTTCGAGAGGCACGTCCTTATATTTCGTTGGACGTCGTAGATATCTAGGAATAACGGGAGAATATTTTCAAAGAGCTCACTTTACTCATATGTACTAGTATTTTTAGGTGTAAATTACACGTTTTATTGAATCACAATAGAAATGTTCACATGCAAGAATAAGCCCAAATGCAACAATCGTATTGGTGATGGTGGATCGAATAAATCCGAATACGAAATTCGAATTTCTAACTACTTTGAAGACACTATTGCAAGGCAGATAGACTACAATCACACGGGAAGTTCCCTTTCGAATTCTAAAACTGGCAAAAAATTGAGTCAAACTCGTATTCGAAAGTGTTCAATCAGGGTCAGTAGAAATGTACAGTGAGAAGTGAAATAGAAAGGAGTCTGGTGGAAACTAGCAACATGAAGCGTGGCGACTGCCATGGTCCGATCCAGATGGCACAAGAATTCGACAGAGCAACAGGAAGCGGTTTCGTTGTCCAGCTGAGATGGTTAGATGGCCAATGTGCAACATTTTGCTGAACCGCCGCTCTTGATGAATTCACTCATGTCGACGAATCTGAAAATGTTGAAACCAGTAAACTACATAGTCACTGCATCTTTGAACGGAGTGAACTTCGACCAAAGTTCGTTTTTTCAATATTGTGCATATGTTTAGTGAATGAGGCTGGAGCCTCATATGCGAAATCCGAGCCTCTCCCACTCAATCGCATCCTAATAATTTGTAAACATCTGAGACCAGCCGTGGAGCAAGAAGTAAACATCGTTTTCATGCTTTCAACCTTTCGTTTCTCAATGCTCAATTCCAGTACTCTTTGGTCTTTTCCTTAACTAGTTACAGCCAATTCAAGTAGGAGAGGTGGAAGCAGTATGTAGATACAATACCAACTCTTAACTCCAGTATTCTTAGTACTTTGACAGCACTAGCAGACTAGAAGCTAAACCTCTTTGTAATCATTGTTCTCGACCTCACCCAAACGAGATCGCATTGTTTGATTGCTCCCTTATCCTACTTTACATTACCTTAGAATTTGTAATCTGGTTACATTTGGTAAAAAGTCAGTAGTACCTGTAACTAATACCTACAAAGGCAATGTATGGTAGCTATGCGACCCTTACAGTTCGTTCAGCTACCGTGGTAATTGGCAATAATGAATAATTAGAACCAACAATTGAGAGTACAATCAAATAAGCTCTTGAAGAAAAGAAGAAACTTTGAATCAAATTTCAAAAACTGAACTCATTTTTTGGTTCGAAATTGTTAAATTCGTTTGTAATTCAATCAGACATTCTATGGATAACAAATGTCTCTTTTATCTTTGACTAAGGCATAATTTTCACATCGGAGACAAAACTATGTCGTGCAAAACTACAAAAGATTACAAAATCTGCTACAGGACTTTTGCCAGAATTATGCTTCTTTACAGTTTTGAACCAGCCTTTTGAGGTAGGTGTTGAACCGCCTTTTGTCGAGATAGATGAAAAAAAAATCTGGCGGAGAACGACGAGTTAGGTGTCAAGTTATAAACTTCAATAAAAAGGATGAGTCCCCCAATAGTTGGCGAGTTCTTTGTATGAGACTATGGGCAACAAACGACGATGAGGAGAGCGCCGGTAGATAAAGTAGTTTAAAGTAAAGTATGCCTGATGGTGTTTACTCCCAACTCATTCCTTTAAGGAGAACTACTAATTTGGGTTGTAAAAGTGTCGATCGAGTTGATATGCCCTCGATACGCCCTCGCTTAAGTTACTGCTGCGATGATGAATGCACGAAGCAAGCCCTTAAAAAACCAGGTACCCCAACACACTCCCAGTAACCCAAAGCGCATCCCTATTGGGTTTGGTTATCGTGTAGGTAGTGGATGCCTCGTCATCCCCATGAATAAAAGGTGCACGAAGTTCGCCAAACTTCGCCATCGATTGCGTGGCCCTTCAACTCGATTGTTTGCAGTTTTAAATTTTGACAACATCAAGGTTTTTTAAAAAAAAAAGATAGCATCCATGAACAATGACAGATCTTATGTAGCCTGAAGATCAAAAGTTTTTAGATGGGCTCGAGTGCTGCATCGTTTCAGCCTTTTTCAATTAATCGACAGAAAAAACTTACTTGACGCTAAAACCAAGTTTTTCTAATTTGTTAGCAGTTTCCTCGTTTCCTTGATGCATCACAACATTGTTTCCTATCACAACAGCATTGCAAGCGAAATTACGAGCTTCCTTATCGGACACCTGCAATAAACAGTTTTAGCTCTAACGGAGGGAGAGAGGGGGAGAGAGACAGAGACAGAGTTAAACAGAGACCGAGAAAGGGAGTTTTGCGTCTACAACTGTGCAGTTTCAATCTTTTTCCGGACAACTTCGCTACAATAAAGGAATGGCTCAGAGAGCAGTTGATTTCTACTGCGGATTAGTCTGTCAAATCATCTCTTCAATTTAACTGGTATCTAGAAAGGAGAAGGGTGAGACTTTCCTTTAGCTCATCAGAAGATGAACTAGTTCCTAAAAAGAGTCGGAACTCACAGGCAGGAGATCAGTCTCATTGTGCATGTTGTGTTGACTGAGATGATCGAAGGCATATGGGTAGTACATAGCCAATTCCTCATTCAACGGGCAGAAGGCGGTGTCGATATGGTAAAATCTGCAACAACTTTCTCTATTTACTTGTAATTAGTATTTACTGTTTGACTTAGCTCACTAGAATAAATCAAAAAACGTCTCAGAACACTATATAAATTTCAAATCTGCTCTCATTCCGGTGAAGTGGCAGTTTTGAGTAGTAAAACTAGTGAATGCATAGTGTAATGTTCTCTGTTTCAGTATGTTCTATTCGTATTTACTTATTTGGTTCGTACTTATGAGGTTATTTTTCAAAAAATCCTCACCGTGGATCTACTAAACGGCATCCGAGAGCTTTCCACGTAGACCCATCATTGAGCTTGTCTGTAATATCCTTCAGGGCCCGAACATCGGTTCTTGGTCCTACACCAGTGAACAGAGTTCGATTACCAGCTCCACCCCAAAGAGCGTCGCCAGCACCTGAATAATTAGTATCTTCTCGCAATATGAATATGTTAGCAGATTTCGGATCTGCTCAGCCTATTCATTCCAGATCTCAAACCACAGCATCACCATTTCACACGAGTTATACGAGAGCGGCTAGATTTACATGAACAACTTTGTCTTCTTGAAGCGTTGTGGTCTTCAATTCCCCC